ACAGTATTGAAGGTAAGTACTAGGATAAGTCCTTAGTGCAAAACGTGTTTCGCCTCATTCAGAGGCTTCATCAGTTGCTGTGGAGTTGTTTGTTGGAGATGTCCTTTTTAAATGGTCCTTAATGAGCATTCATTTGGTGGTTCTAATCCTGGCATTCAGACGTTACTTCCTCTTCCGGGTATTTGCGTTCCATCAATGGAACGCATGCATCACGATCATGTATCCTGTGTAGTGGAACACATCCTTGAGTTCCATTTCATTTATATAATATCCCAGTCTCTTATATGGCAGTTATTAATCCTTATAGGAGGTAATATAAATAAAATAAGAGTACAGACTACAATATTTAAGTAATGAAAAAGACAATAAGCATTCAATTAAAATAGTTTGTGAATAGCAATATATACATGCAAAAGGAGGGGGAAATAGACAATAAAAAAAAGGGAGAAAAAGATTATAAAGAATAGGAGAAAAATATCTCATATCTTATAAAATGACTGGTAGATGGAGAAACCACATTAAAAAACATTAGATGTCAACAAGAAATGTGGACATAGTTGCATACATAATAAAAAAGGTGGCAGAGAGAAAAAAAAAAGGGAAAGGAAAAATATTAAAAAATACTTCTATAAAAATGATTAAAAATGGCAAACTTGAAATCTGAGTTTAAACCATGGGGAATCAGTGTTTTAAAATTATAAATAAATGCATTTCTTCTTTACCCAATATCTTAATATAATTTCCCCCTCTCCAGTCTCGTTTGACTTCTTTTATTACACTTCCTTTAGTTTGCATATTAAGGGGGCTATTACCCCGTTCTGGCTACTAGCATGGCTTCATAATTGGCTAGACAGCAGCTACAATATACATGGGTCTCCTCCCTAAATGACATGTCTTAATTTGACAAGCATAATAAGAAATCCTGTACAAGTCTAGATGGAACAGGTACATTGACACGTGTAGCTAATATTTCAAAAAGAACTAGAAGAGTCACAGTACAACACAAAATAGGCTCCGACTACTTTTCCAAAGCAGTTTACTGAGTCCCTAACCACCAACTGCAAGGCCTGCTGTAGCCGTATTACAATAGTCATCCCTATGTAAGAGTCGCCTGACACCTGACAAATGTCTCCCAACCTAGCTGTATATCTCACTCAAATCATTCCTTAGCCAAACCATCTGGGTAGGTACACAGCCAACACTCACAGGCATGTTCATGCAGGTTATTTGTTTGTATGTACTTTTACAGTTTAACACTCCTGTTTTCTCTTTCGGTGTACACATGGTTAAAGATGCCAGAGTAACACATATAAGCGCTATAAGCGTACAAACGTAGCACTGCAGTGCGTACAGGTAAAGGCTCATGGACCCACATCTCTTGCCAGACCATATACCCCAACTGGGTCTGGCGATTTGTAAGATCAGACGATTTTGACCCACTTCAAGGTACTCATACTAATTCTCTTTCTATTCAATCCTTTCTTTCCTTTCTTCCTCTTTTTTACAGGTTCGGTTTTCATGGGTGGGGTTGGAGTTGAGGGGAAGGGAAGGGAATTGTTATCAAAATGGGGATGGTTACCAGCTGAATATCTCAGGGGAGCAGAGGTGGGCGTAACTGATAGCATAATACTCCGACCTGGACCATGGCTATAAATATTACTTAATTGAATGTAAAAGGTCTTAATGCTCCTCTTCTTTGCAAATTAAAGAGGATGAAGTCAGATTTTCCTTCATCCAAGAGATGCATTTGCCTAAACATGTCAACTTTAGATTGAGAGACCATACATATGTTACGACTCACGAAGCTCGAGCACACCGTAAGCGTAATGGTGTTGCAATTCTGATCCGAAATAGCTGTGAATTGTCTCCTCCAAACTGGTTTCGGATGGTGTTATATCATATTGTCTGGTACCTTGCATTCCCACACAGTCCACTTAATTAATGTCTACGCTCCGAACCAGCCAGATCCCCGGTTTTGGGACACCTTAACGGCAAAGATACAGGCACTGCAGCATGGCATGATATTAGAGGGGGGAGACTTCAACACGGTGCCATGACCTGCCGTAGACAGAAGTGCGCACAAGGGTATACCTAGATCTCAAGGGAGGGGAGGGCTGGACAAATTGTTCCATGGGTTCATGACCACCACGGGGCTTGTGGACATGTGGAGGGCAGATCATCCAAGCCATCATCCAAGCAATGTTAATTACACTTTCTACTCAGCCCCACATGGCACTTATTCTAGAATTGACCTATTTGTGGTAAATGACTGTAGCTTAGCCCGAATAGCAGGCTCGTCGATCTGATCCATGGCGTGGTCGGCTCATGCCGAGGTGACCCTAACCCTAGGGAACCTCTGTGTAGCATTCCCATGGACATAGAAACTTAACGCTTCCTTATTATGAGACCCAGAGATCACAGAGCAGATCCGTAACGTTATCATAGAGTTTTTTTAACACTAACGACACCCCTGACTTGAGGGTAGTTAA